TGCTGTGTTTGTGCACAGAAGCGAATCCTGGGCCTGCAAATGGCATTACAGCCCGTGATGAATGAGCATTAGGGTAAACTCATTTTAAAAGCATCCTGATTTATTAGCAGCCTGGCCTTCCATTTTCATCAGGTCAATGCTTGGCTGAAATTCCACAATGTCAGCGCCAAGGTCAACGCTTTATGGCTATTTTTAACCCCATCGCTCAAAAATAGCCGGGAAATGGCATCATATCACTTATTATCGCCATCTACCAAAAATATCAGAGGTCTGGACACAGTGGAGGTATAAGTCTCGCCTTACAAATGTTTATGTGGCAGACCAAAATGTGGTGGTGGTCAGCCTCCAATTATGAGTGCTAGTAAGACAAGAGCTTTAATGGCCAACGTTTGCCTTCAGGGAGGTTTATTACATGCTACTGTTTTGCAGTAGCAGCGTCAAATCTATAAAACGACCATTAGGAAGAGAGAAAAAAATCAATCAAAATGCCATTAAAGTGGAATAAGTTGCCAATATTGCTGATGTGGTTGCGGGTCCTTTGATTTTCCTTCAGATTATTAGGCACAGTCGAGTAGTGACTTTGTTAAGGGAAACCAGTGTTGTTGGGGAGTAATATGTCTCCTGGCTTCATAAAGTTTGCTGCCTCATATTTCCCACTTTATTGATTATCCATTATCATTTGTCATGAGGTGTCCTAACTCAAGGGGAAAATATAACCCTCTTTCTTCTCTGCCGCCTGCTCTGCACAGGAGCATGGTATGGATCTGAGTGTGAAGGTACCAATCTCTGAGAAAAATGAGCAGCGAAATAAAGCACGGACCTGTGCCTTGCAGCTCTAAGAGAGAGCGTGGTGTTATGGGGTGGGCTGCCGGAGCACCATGGCTTGGAGAGACTGAAAGAAAAGCCGTTTGCAAAAGGAAAAAGAAAAAAAAAAAGTGGCAGTGAAAGATATAGACAAAGACAGAAGAACCAGAAGAGAGAGAAGTGCACTGAATGGGCTTTGTTTTTCTTCCATCCTCCCTACTTTTCTATTTCATGATTAGACAGATGAGGGAGCAGACAACCGGTTGTATTTTTCTTAATAAGTAATGCAGATAAACTGTGTGTGTGTGGGTGGGAATAGGTCAGAAAACTATTAAAAGCTTTATGTTTGTGAAATAATTTCAACAGGGCATTAATGACCGAGACAAAAAACTACGGCTCTTCACCATGTTGGGATAGAAAAAAAAAAAGATTATTATTATATTTTAAGGAGTTTAAATCTATATTCTCCTAACCTTAAAGGTTATATACTACATGTGCATTTCCAGATAAGCTAAAGCGTCTCTATTTTGTTGGCTTGGGCACCATCCATGCTTGAAATGTGAATAGAAACGTACACAGTATCGTCTGTAATGCTGCAAGTCTGTCAGGAGCGTGCGTGTATATATATCACTAAAATGACACGTCTCAACCATTTCGTCACACAATGATACAATCCATTTAATCCAAATCTTTTTAAGAAATGATTTAAGGATTTTTTTCTTCACTTGCAGTTAAAGCGAGACAATCCAGCGGGCCGCTCTTTCTGATTTATAATGTTAGTATTGCAAGAATGGGGATGAGAGATGTAGAGTGGTAAGCGCTCATAACATAGATAAACTACACAAAAGGCATGTGCTCTGGATTGAAACATTTATCTATTGAAAATTTGTGTAGACTGTCTCTAATGGGCACGGAGTTAGGCAATGCATGGTGAATAGACGCAGAATGAGTAGGCTGCTTTTGTCTCTTTAAGGCCTATTTGATGTAATACTGCCATTTAGTTTTTCCACTCAATAAAGCAATTAGACAGTTAATTAATAAGACTCCACAACGTTTTTCTTGTTAAACTATTACATTTAATCGCTATAGTTTGACTCTACTTTCACTCTACTTTCACTCTCATGTTATATCTGTGCATTCTATTTTTAAGATTTCTCTTTTTTTGCTTTTCGGTCTTTTCCCTAGCTTCTAAAACAACCCTCAGTGGCATGCTAAAGGAGCCATCATTAGTTCCAGATGAAGTACTGGCCAGAAATATTTACCAGGTAAAGATTTTGATTCCTACACTCATTCCCAACATCAATGCATTGATGCCATCGCTCTGTAGATTGTTGATTTTTTATTTTTTTCCTTTACTTCACATCTGAGTTTTTAAGTGCTACTTTTTCATCTGCCAAACAAATGCCTTCAGCGGCTCATATTTGCTGATGAGGTCACATGACAGCCGGCGGTCATGCCTGCCGGTCTGCAAGCCATCTCCTGTGTTTCATCCTTCCCCAGCACTGTACGGGATTCCCTCACACCCACCCACCTTCTTGGCGCACTATAATATTTCTTCTGCCTCTTTTCAGTGCACAATAAATGACTGCTGTTATGGACCGCTGGTAGACTGCATCAAACAGTATCCTATCCCATAAAATTTTAAGCTTGAAATTGACGAGGAGCTATTGAAGGTGGATGAGAAGTGTCTGGCTTCACCTGACATAAAAGTTCTGCTTCACAGAGGAAGTGTTTCATTCTGTCTGCCATCCCGCTATCAACAACTCAGGGGTTGCATGTACACACATACTGTATACACGTGTGTGTATATGGGAATAGATGCATGTACACGGAGTGTGACTCAGAAAGTCTAAAATCTGTGCAGCTAAACACTTACTTTCAGTGTCGTTTTTTTGTAGCTTGCTTGTAATCTCAGTTAAATCCATTCTTCTTTCCAATCTGTTGTGCTATAACATACACTGCCACCTCCATTTTCAAGCCTCAGCCCAAACCTTAGCCACAGAATAAATGTGCAGGATATTTAAGGGCAATCCAAGAAACCAGATAACAAATTAGTGATTTATACTATTTTGCATGATTAAAATGATAAAATTATATATTTTATTGAATTATAGATTTTATAATTGATGATATATGTGCACATGTGCTTTTTTTTTACTTCCTGGCTGATTTGTTTGATTTTCCCACTTGAGTCAGCACTTTGATGCATGTGGGTGTTTTACCAAGAATATCAAACCCTGCTTTAAGTGTACTGTATGTTGGAATCCTTGACCCTGTTCTCAGCGCCATTGGCCAAGAGCATGAGGTGCTGCTCTGTGACAAGCTGAAGGAGAGGAACCTTGCCTTTCTTGGTAAGTTGTCTTTTTACTTTTTGTTTTTTTTCCTTTCTTTTTCCCCTTTCCTTGGCATTCCATGTTTTAAAGCCCTAATCTGAGTTAACAGTGGCCAGGATGTCAATAATACTATGGATGTAATTTTCCTTTAATTAATCTCGCATTGATACTCAGTTTGATTCTTACTGGGTTCCATGTTCATTTAGTTTTAAAAGAATATAATCATAAATCTGAATGTTTTTTCAAATAAAAAAAACACTCTTTGCTAAAAATATACAGGGTTATTGTTTTACAGATGTAACAATGATGCAAGTCCAAATTACATTCAGATGACCATTTTAACCTCTCAAGAATAAGCAGTGACCTCTCTCTCCCTTTTAAACGGCCATCAGCCCTCCGTCTATGCAGTCTGATCTTGACCTGATTGTTTTTGACTGAAGCAGCAACCGCAGCTTCCCAAATGCTCTTCAAAGAGATGGACTGTCTTCCCAAACTAAGAATCTCATGTTTGAGAGGGGCTCTCTAGGTTTCAGTAAGATTTAATTCAGGTGAAGAAGTGGGCTAGATCTTTATACTGTCATATTTCTAATGCCCTAGGGAGATGGACGGTCCCTGGAGTACTTGAATGTATGTGATGGAGCATTGTCCTATGCAGAGATTGCGGTCACTATTGAATGCTGTCTACACCATTGCCTTAGGAAAGTTACTTCCTGAGACATGATTGCATGATTTGAAATTGATTTTCAGTCGAGCTCTAATCTGTGCAGCTCCACTATCCTTAATGATAACAGCCCATACCAATACTTTTCCTCTGTCTTTACTGGTTCCTGTTTTTGAAGTAATTCTCTGTTTCTATTAGTGATCCAGCTACATGCCTTAAGCTGCAGCAACGAAAGATTAGTGAAGCTCCTGCAAGCCTCGTCAGGCTGACCTTTATCCCTTTATAGTGAGAGCAGTGGAGCCCATGATAAAGCGAATACTCATACTTTGGCAATGCAGCAACAATAAGGACGCAATTGTGTATCGAAAAGTTTGTTTGCTGCAGTGAGGTCACAACTCTTAAATACGATGGGGAAACAAAACGAGGAGGTTTCATGATGTCCTTGCATTTATTTTTGTTGTCGTTAAGTCTTTTATTGCTACGATTTGCTTTCATTTTCCATGTGCTTTTCTGTGACCCTCTTAAGTAATATCACCACTATGAATTGATAATCTGGCAGACATGCGTCAAAAGTTCAGCCGTGTCAGTAGTTCTTCTGCCTAAAAAAGTATTTTTACTGTTCAATTCAATCTCTTTTTTGGCCCACTGTAACTGATTTAAACACTTTTTACTCATAATAAGTATTCCCATCATCTGAGAAAGTCATCAACTAAAAAGCAGCATCTTCCTTCAATACACAAAAGCATACACAAATTATTAAATTAAACGAATGCAAAATATGGATTAAAAAAAGTTTATGTGACAGTACTTACATGGTTTGTGTATAGGATGATCATAGATACAATATTGGCACCATCAAAGGGGGTTGTTGACAGTTGCTATTTTTGCAGTTAGATATTTTTGGGGATCCAGTGTTAAAAAAAAGCTGCTTATTGGAAATATCTTTGAATGTTTAATTAGTTCAATCAATTTTTATACAGTGAAAGCAGTATTTATTTATTTTTTAAATGAAATTGTTCGTTATTCCTTTGTTCAAACTAAATGAAATCAAGGTGGAAAGTCCTGGTTTAAGATTATAGGATGACATTTTTAACCCTCCCTTCCTCCCATCACCTCATCCCATCACCATCCCCAAGGTCAGGTGAATGATGAGGGATAAAAGTCATTCCCTCTGTCATTAAGACCATATCCTTTATTTGGACATGGAGCACCGACCTTTCTCCGGGGCCGTACAGAGAACTGTTCTAAAACTGTCAGAGTTCGAGGGGCACGAGGGCCACTGGTGCAGCCTCACCCCATCTGATAAATGGATTGGAAATAAGCTACCCAACAGCAGGGATGGCCCATTAATTTTAATCAAAGCTGATGTAAAAAGGCGATCAGAGCCACATGAGAATGTCAACATCCCCATGGGTGTGAACTTAGGTGCGCATCCTGCCACACACACATATCTACACCTCCATCCCCACATCCAGGGTGCCACTCTGTGCCACAGGCCTTTGGCAGCCTCTCTGACCTCTCTCGGCTCTCTTGGCTCTCTTTCCTCATCTTTGGCTGATGCTACCTCCTCACCACCACTGACACCGCCACCCTCCATCTCCCCTCAATTCCCCTCCACGCCCCATTAGTTGAGCTTGGCTGGAGACAAAGAGGCAGGCCCTTGGAACTGAATGACCTGGTCAGCCAGAGATTTAATGGAGAAGTCAGGTGTTGTAGGGATAATGACCAAAAGCACGCATGAAGTCAAGGACAATGGCTGGAGCCTGCACAGGCAGAGGTCAGGCTTACGGAAGCTATAATGCCAACCTTGTCCTCTTGCTGTATGTTTTATATAGCATAGCCAAGCTGAAGGCTGGAAAGCAGCTCTGTAATGGGGCATAACAGGTTTTTTTGTGCAATGACAGCAAATATGTGGCAGATGTAGTTAATTGTTTTACAGCAAGTGCTATCCTCTGCTGCTTTTTATTCTGCTTTAATTCAGAGGGTTGTTTTTACAGGCAACTTGGAAAACAGTCTATGATTAATACTCAGACGTTTACTTATTTTTCAAGAGATAAAAAAACCCATTTCAGATTAACAGATGTTAAATTGTCCACTTTCTGTCCTTCAGATGAAAACCAGCTGAGAACTAGGGGCTATGACAAAACACCTGATATCATCCTCGAGGTTCCAATTGGCAAGTACTTATATTACAAATGTCAGCGTTTCTCTAAAATGACCAAACTTCTAACAGCTGCCACTTGTAAGTGTAAAGTATTTCTCAAAAATGTGTATTGTTCATGTTTTGTCATTTATATATGACCTGAAGTTAAAAAACAAAAAAAACCCAACAAAAAATAATGAATATTTTTCTTGGGCCTCCTGTATTAGATTTTTACCGTCTGATTATTGTTTTTAATCTGATCATTGTTGTTTTTTGTGTGATCAAAAGCTGTGGAGGGGCACATTGTACATTGGATTGAGAGTAAAGCCTCTTTTGGAGATGACCACAGCCATCGCACCTACCTCGATGAACAATTTTGGAGCTACTGGAATAGGTAATCCATTCTATCAGTTTTTCTGTCTCTCAGCCAACTCGTGTGGTAGCTGCTATTTTCTCAGTTTAACTTCTCCTTTTGTTGACCACAAGATACCATCAATTTTTCTCAGCATTATAAAAGCTAGTCATATCTCTGTCTAACATGGCTAACCACTTCCTCTCTGGGGTAGAAAATTTTGACCAAAGAATTCCACACGCTACATCTGTACATTACACTACTTCCACATCCACTTCTGTTACTGGAGCTCTTTACTGTCTGAATGGTTTGCCTGTGAGATTGTTTTGTAGAATACGTATATTGTGTTGTGAGGGAAGCAAGGAAACAGATGATTAATGCATAGCATTTTTCATTTCTTTGGAAAGAAATAGCCCTTCACGATCTGACCCTTGTGAAATAGAGGTGTGTGTTTTGTGTTTGTATGCACACAAACGTTTGAATGGATTGCGGAAATGACAACCAACCATCAATGTCACTTCAAAAACTATACTTATACAAACTACGCTAAGCAACAGACAAGTATACCCAAGAATATTCTATGTCTTTTTGAAAAAAATCAAAGGGCATGGAGAATATTTTTAGGATTTATCTAATTTAGAACTATTTGGAGCATGTTTTATTTCAAAGCTATAATGGACCTGTCTGTTGAATGTTTATCTATTCTTAATAAATATTTGTTTTAAAGTTGGGGGAAAAAGCCTATATCAGAAAGTAGTACATTTGGCTGGACACTGACATATAGGCCCCGGTCCAAACCGAGGTATCTGGGAGACTTGTGTATTAGCATGCCCATAGAGGGTTAGTTGTCGCTCACACATGCTTTTAAGATCCCCACCACCCTTGGCACTGGCTCACAACAGCCCTGATCCGCACCAGCTGTGATTGCCAGCTGACATGTTGTGACATTGTACAGGACCTCCAGGAGGTAGTAGCCGTCAACACTGCATCCAAAAAGCAGACAAAATTGAAATGTCTCTTTTTCTTTGACTTTGTTTTTTTGTGTGTGTGTGTGTGTGATTAGTACATGATTAAGATATCTGTGGATCCAAAGCTATCCGAAGCTTAAAGCCGTTATGAATATTAACATATGAAAATCTGCAAAAATTCCTCAAAGAAAGTTACTGAAAAAGGGGGAAAAAGGTGCAACACAATATACAATAAGAAAGTATCGTACTTTGATAATCAGTTGTTTTGTTTACATGACGTTATCTATAAAATTACATATTTTTTGATCACACCATAACCTGAGTAAAATGCATTTAAAACATACAATAAATGTTGAACCTAAATTGTTTAATTGAGATTTTAAAAACCTGACTGATACACCCAGATACTGTGGAAGAGCAAATATCCTCTGCATGTATAAACTCATTTTGATGGGCATAGCAGCTGTGTACATGCCCAGAAGTGTAATCTTTTGTGTAAACACAGAAAGAGGTCACTAACTCTTAGTAAATCCTCTCATTCACATACTCTTCTGTTTTCCTTTTGTTTTGTTTTTCTGGCAGACTGCTCAGCACTTAATGATGACTTAAACACTCAATGCAATGACTGTGCTCTAACATGTACAGTGATCTTTCACAAAGGGGAGGTAAAAGTGGTAGAACAGTACATATTGAATATTTTCTTTCTTCCAAAATGGGTTAATAATTTCACTCCAATTCATGTATGCTGGCACCCTGTTGCACTCCTGTCAAATGGCTAGCTGTAACTATAGCTCATAACTATGCATGCCATTCTGCTGTCTCAGAAAATCGTATAAAATAGTAAAGGGGAGCGATCTCAAATGATGAGCTCTGCAACTTAAAGGTTTAATGTTTCTAGAAATATTTGAATCCAAGTGTTTGAGTAAAGCTACATCTTAATTAGATAGCTGTTGTTAATCCAGGGGTGTCTTTCAATTGTATTTCCTTGTGGCACTTATGTCTATGTGTATTAAGAAACTAACAAAAAAGAGCCAAGTTATTAAATGACAATCGGAAAAATAGTTTGCGTAAAAAAAAAAAAAAAAGTCCAGGACCTGCAGTCCTCAGCATTTCCAGCACCCTACCACATTTGAACATATTTCCATCTGGGAATTCAGACAGCACCTCATCTTCTTGTTTTTGTTAGACCTTATCGTTTAATCAAAAGTAATTATGTACCATGAGTTGGTAAAGCTGCGGTTTAACAAACTATGCATTGTTATGTCAAAATCTAAAAGGGGGAAAGTTGACAAGACGGTGAGGGGTGAAATCATACCTTTCACCTCATTCTAGTTGGTTTCAGTTTAAGAGACTGGGCCTGAAGGGCTGATCTTGGGTGTATTTGGCCATTCCTTCATTCCTCTGTCAGATATAAGTCCTTCACTCTAAGCCCTTTGGTTTCTTTTTTTTATTGCCCTTGGAATTACACACAAGTCTTTGTAATTACCGCTTTTCCCCTGATTGACGTTTCCAGTGATTTGCTTATTTTTCATGATTCCCCTCTTTGCGTTGACTAAGCTTCTTCACCCATTGCTTACGTTAATTGTTCTCCAGTTGCCCTCAAGCACTGCAAAGTAAGGACATGTTTTTATAGACGGAAAGAAAAAAAACATAACTAATTTTCCCTCAGAAACCCTCAACAACTGCATTTATCATCCAAACAACAGTCTTGCCAACATGCTAACCCCATAATGAACCCCTCTTTGGTGAAGTGAGGGGTAATGACGCTTCACCTACAATGCTCTCAAGAAGAAAGAGAGCGAATGGGGGAGGGGGGGTAGAGAGAAAAACAGTTTTGGACAGAATCTGACAGCGTGTTCAAGCCCACTGCCTGGATGAGATGGGGAAGCGGCAGCTATTGGCGTCTTCCAGCCATCAATCTTAGCTGGTGACGTTCCAGAGCCAGCGAGCCCTCTGCTCTGACGGATGTTCAGATAATTGAGTGATTCATCTCGCCCAACTATCAGAGTTGCATAAAAATTATTCACCTGCTTGTGAATATTAAACACATAATGAGCCTCTTGTGTGTTTTAGCAGAAGTGGGTAAGGTTAAACACAGCATGTAATGAAATATGGACTCCTGTGTGGTATCACCTTCACTGTTCCTTCCTGATTATAGTGTACTTAAATCAATTGCGCTTGGCAAAGTTCCTTCCATAACACTGCGAACAGGAGTTCAGGATCTGCATTTGTCTTTCTGTCTACCATGGTCTAAAGTGAATATAAAAATACATTTAAAATATCTTGTTGATTTCATCATGTGGCAAATTGTTAATTTTCCTTTTAAAGAAAATATAAGTACTATTTATAGATTCAGACAGAAGTATTTTATTTTTTCCCTTACAGCCATTAATCTGTCATGTTCTTTGTATTAACTTTGATACTAATATACTGATGAATACATCAGCATAGATATGCCTTTTTGTTAGAGGAGCACGTGTCACACAATGCAGTAAAAAGAAAAGACTACAAGAACTGCATATCTTTTGTTATGGAAATATAAAGAAATAAACTTGGTCACGAAACAAAGCTCGAATAGGTCGGCATGGTAAATGGCTCTACTGCATTTGATCATTTTGACAAAAACAAGGTCATTTGTTAGAGATGTTTTTTTCATGTATAATGAAAAGTCTTACACTCTGATTCTTTGTGAAAATCCCCACTTGGAGGTGGCATTTTTCTGCTTAGATTTGTTCAGTATGTTAGAATCTTTTTCATGGTCGTTTGCTGATCAACGCCATGTTGTTCATCAATCTACGACTCAGACGGCACAAGTTTTTTATGAGAAAATCTGCACTATTAAATTGACATAATCTCACACAACCAGGTTTGTATTTATGTTATCATATTTCAACTTCCTAAGAGGGAAAAAATAACTTGATGAATGTGTTAATTATTCTTTAGTTCTGCACTTAAGAGAGTTAGAGATTGTACTCAAATGTAGGTCATTTAAACGTTCCAATATAGTCTGTTAATTAAAACAACATATTTTGTAAATGTGAAATAACGTCAAAACAAAGTGACAGTATTTTTTCCTCCTTCTCGCTTAGGTTATACCTTTAAATGCTGGGGTTTTCTATGGAAGGATTCTTTTAGTGTGTGAGCTCAGAACCCTTTACAACATAAACATGCTCCAAAATGAAACTTCCAGAAAACAAAAGTTATTGAGGAAACCCCCAGCAAACACCTGGCTTACCAATACCGTGACTTAATCACAGATTCATTGCTCATTCATTGCTCATTTTGCTTTTAAGGTTCAATTAAAAAAACAGTGCCGTGGTACATTTTGAATTGATCAGTTTTTAACATTTTAATGTTTGTTTTCATTCTTCATTTGTTTCACATCTTTACAGCATTGCTTATGTATTGTCCCCTGAGTATGAACTATTTCATGTTTTTAATGTAGTTTTTGGCCCATCATCACTTTCCTCTTTTTAACAGCTAAAAAGAATCAATTGAACATATTTTTTATTGTACAAAAATGTGTTTTTATTATAACATTACAAATTAAAGGGGTAGAGACATGGTTAGAGTTTCCCATTTTCTTTCCTCCCATTCCACCCAAACGGACACATTGGGCTGCCCGTGTTTGGTTTGGTTGCCAAGTCACCCCCTCCCAAAGCAAATCATCTGTGCGATTCGTAAACGGCAAATGTGTCAGAGTTGAAAATGTTAGCAGTCTTAATGGAGACTTGAAAAGGTTAGATCTGATAAAAAGCTGTCAGCCATCCACAAAACATGATTTATTGCAAAATAATGGGACAGTATGCCTCATTTCTCCCTCATGAAATGAGGGTTAAGAGTTTTTTGGTTCTCATTATACATGACCACTTGGATATTTGTTGAGAGTTGAATGCACATGCATGTATTAATTTCCATCTTCTCCTTTGTTTGATTCATTTCTGAAAGTGAGTTCATAACTTTGCATTATTCCTAGCAGAAAATGATCTGCTCTAAAGGCACAAACTATATTGAACTTAATTTAGGCGTGTCATTGTTTTTAGTTGTTTTTTCTATTTTTCTGAAGACGCGTAA